TGAAGTGTACTCATTCTCTCACTATTCAACTATTTTTATTCATCAAGGTAAAAATTTTACATTCTAAATGTATTTAAACTCAAAAATGGATGAGTGAATCTCTCAGTGTAGAGGTCGTTATTTCAGAATTCAAAATAACTAGTGTCGAATTAGAATATTTGAAGGATCTGATTATAGTCAAATTTTTATAATTTATGATAACATATGGAATAAGAGAAATAAAAATAATAATTCATCAACCTTTCTCTCCCCGTAAAAATCTCCTTCTCTCTCCCGTAACCCTAGTTTCGGCGCCGGCGAATTGTCCCCTCTCAGCGTTCATCCGATTAGCTGGTGGACTGCTCTCCGCCACGCGTCCAAGCCTCTAATCGCTGCACTCTACCTTCGTCTCGCTAGCAGTTGGGTGAGGATGGTGGTCTTAGGCGGATTTCGCAGATCTACGCCTGCCGATCGCTGAAGCTCCCTGGTGGTGAGGCTGGGTGGAGTGTGGTACCAGAGGCTGGACGCGGCTCACTTGCTTGCACCGCCTTTACCCAGGGGTTTCCCCTTTCCAATTGTTCTCGCCGGCTTCGCCTACAATTCTGTACGGCTTCCCCTTTCCAGTTTGCAGGTATCTTGTCTGTTTCTCTGTTCGACGGTGCTCGGGTGTGGCAGAGAGAGGGCGGGGTTTGGTCTTTGATGGCTGGGAGGAGAGCTTGGGTTTGGGCCTTGGTCGGGGCGTCTCTACTCGCCGGGCTTGGAGGTCAACCCGGCTGTGGATTTTCAGTTGCTGCCCGAATCTGGTTACCGGCACCTCGGATGTGCAGGGGTGTTGGGTTGGGGTTTGTCCTCTCGGGCTGGGTGGATTATTGATTGTTTCGGGCTGGGTTCATCCCTTTGGCAGGGTCGGTGCGGCAGAGCGTTGACGCCATTCACCCCCTTCCTCTCCTTTCTTTGTTTCCGAGCTCGTGAGAGGCCGACTGTTCCCAGAATTGGCTAGTGCTGATAGGCAGTTTCGGGACGGAGCCAGATTGGCTAGTGGTGTTAGCCAGTTGGGGGTCGATTGTGGTTTCTGGCGGTTGGTGTGCGGGACGGTTTTTCGTATTGTTATGAGGCTTGGGTTATCGTCTTGCTAGGCCTTCTGCAGTGGCGGGCGTGGTATCAGAGCCTCGGAGCTCTCCTCGGAATCGGCCTTGTCTGCTGTTCTTTTCGGGTGTATCTGCTGAGGGAGGCTTTGTTTTTTAGTTTATAGTTTTTATTATTCGTATGTTTCGTTTGTTTGTTCTGTGTTGTCTGTGTTTTAGGTTTGGGCCGTTGGCCTCATTTAGCCCGAGTGTACCTGTTGGGATAGTACACTCGGGCATTACCCTGTTGGGGCCGTTTGTAGGTTTCTTTAGTGTTTTAGTGTCGTTGTGGTGTTTGAGTTTTTAGGTTACCCTGTTGGGGTCAATTCTAGGCAGTCTTTAGGCTGTCCTTCCAGTTTTTCACCTGTTGGTTGGTTGTATTCAGCCGTTGGCTGTTTGTATTCAACTCCTGGTTGTACTTTCTCACATTTGTGCTTTTTATATATAATATTTCTATCGTTTCAAAAAAAAAATAAAAAAGATAACATATGGAACCTGGTGTAGGTCCTATGACGAGTTAGGAATTTTTGAATACTAAACTTCTTCTAAGAGGAATATAAGATAAGAAAAAGATTCTAGAGTATTTCGAAAGGATCTTACTCGAAATTGGTTGGTATCGATCCTATCTTTGAGAGAAGTGTAAACTTTACATAGATATACCTTTCACATGTACAAAAATATTATCCCGTTTTTATTCTCACATGCACATTGGCACAGAAAATCCTTTTTGGTGCACATTTATATATAACTTCAAGCAATATTGGGGTATTTACTTTGCAAACACAAAGCTTTGCAGGTAATAAGCTCGCTTCAAAAAATCGGAGTGATTGGATAGCTCGAATGAATGGATCAATTGATAGGAGGTCGTTTTGCTTGGAATAATTAGCTCGAACTAGAGTTCTCAAATGGCCTAACTCAATTCGGGGATATAGTTCACGATGAGATGCTACACTCATGTTTCTATTTAAAGGAAATGAGCCCAATATGTATGGTATCTCATTCCGTATAGGGATAAGATTTTCTGCTCCAATTTCATGTCCCATTTCTTGTTCATTTTCGTTAGATAATTGACAAGCACATAAATATGGCATCATCATGTGCATATGTCATTCATCTAACGTAATGAAACACAAAGTGAAACATGTCTCTCATCTCATATGAGAAAAGTAGGTGTATTTGAGTGTCAACCAAATTTGGTGGAATCTGCGTTTTATCCAAATGCTTCGAGGAAAGTAAAATATTTATAAATATACCTTGTACGGGTATGAAAATGTAATCTTATTCTTATGCTATGTTTGGTAAAATTAGATGATAAATTAAATTATAGCTTATAAGTGATTTTAGAGCTTATAACTTATAGTTTATGACTTATAGTTGAAAAATGTAACTTATACGATAAAGGTGTTTAGCAAAATTAGCTAATAAACTAGCTGAAATAAAAATTTCGACAAGCTTATTTGAAAAACTACCTAAAGAAACTTATGAAATAAGCTCAAACTTAAAAAANAATGCATTAAAAAAAAAAAAAAAAAAATGTCATCCTAACAAAGCTTATTTGAATACATGTTTATAGCTTATTTGGTTATCGAAGACATTCTTATAATTCTTAAGGCTAAGTTTGGTAAAACTAGCTGATAAACTAGCTTATAGTTTATAAGTGATTTTCGAGCTTATAACTTATAACTGAAAAGTTAGCTTATATGATAAAAATGTTTGATAAAATTAGTTAATAAGCTAGCTGAAATAAAAATTTAAACAAGTTTATTTGAAATGTTATCTAATAAGCTCTAACTTTTTAAAAAAATTCGTCATACCAAACGAAGTTAATTTGAATACAGTAAACTATAAGCTAACTAAATAAACTGTAAACTCGTTTATTTAATTACCAATCACAGCCTTATAATATTTAAATGTACAGCTCCACGGACAACCTTTTTAGGATTTATTTATTTATATAAAAATAAAAAAAATTAAGTGGACATAAATAAAAAAAAAATAAAACAAGTGGAAAAATATCAAAAGCACGTATTCCCAGAATACGTTTTTTAAATAAAAACGTATTCCTAAAATACGTTTTCAAAAAAAAACGTATTCTAATAATACGTATTCATTAGAAACAATTAATTAAGGTGATTAACGTAATTAAATTAATTAAAATAGATAAAAACGTATTCAGGGAATACGTTTTCCGTTAAAATATTTAAAATTAATATTTTTGATTTTAAAAAACTTATTTTTTTGGAAAATAATATTTGCAAAATTAAAACGTATTTTCAAAATACGTTTTTGAACATAATTTTGCCCCAAATTGATTGCGCCCTAATTTTATCCCCAAATCGATTTTGACCTAATTTTACACAAACAAAAAACGTATTTTGAAATACGTTTTTGAACCTAATTTTGCCCCACATTGATTGCGCCCTAAT